TATTTACAACAACATTAAATGGTCTCAATTACTCAAGTGATCTATGAATGCTAAAATTTTCTTCAGATAGGTATGTGGAAACAAGAGAGAAAGGAAGGACGAGACAGAAACAGTGGGTTCAAGAAAGAAAGCAGTGCAAGGCACTAACGATGACATATTATAGTAATTACAGTTGTGATTGATGGTGGTGGACAGGCGGTTATCCTGGTTGTTGAGAGAAGAGAGAAAAAACTGGCTTTTCAAATTTTAATTTTACTGTAACTTTTCTCCAGGAACAACTTGTAATATTATATTGGGAATTCATTGATCATTATTTTCGTAATTCGGGTAAGTACAACGTGAGACAATGTCTGATGACACTCCCCAACAAGTGTTAAACAGAGGACCTCCACAACCCTCACTCTTCGCCGAGTATAAGAGTGTCTTCTCAAGCACGTGGAAGTCTTTCTCATACGATCATCACGAGAACCTTCGGAGACTTCGTCAAGAGGGTATGCACTGTGCGATGTCGTTCCTCTTGTGCTGCACGTTCTGCCTGGCGTGCGCAGTGTCTCTCAGCATCGCAGAGAGCGCGCACCTGCACAACAACATGGGCTCTCAACAACTCAACCCTCTTGAAATAGAGAGCCAAATTCTTTTGCAGGAAAAACGGACGGTTGATGCTCTTTGGTCTGCGTCTTCCTTTCTTCAGGAGGTGGACTGGAAAGTCCAGGCACGGGAGACACTGAGGATGCTGCGGCAGGAGAGTGCGGCTCTGCAGAGCTGTGAGCCCACTGTTAATGATGCTCCTGACTGGAGCATCATTAACAGCTTCGTGTATATGCTCACCGTTGTCACGTCCATTGGTTAGTATTACCCCTCGCTCCTTCCCGTCAGCCTCGCCCAAATCAACCTTTACTTCCTCGAACCGATATAACTTTTCTGTGGTTTTGGTCATTTTTGTCAGATGTTCGGGGACTCATACCTGGCAAACATGAGAAAAGCGCTGTAACGTCATAAAATAATTCTGGTCACAAACATCAACTACTTTGCTTCGGCTAGGTCGCTAGAAAGCTTGCCTTAAATTATGTCTGCCTCGGTTCGAGTCCTCTGCAGTCCTTAGAACTTACACCAGTTTATTAAGGTTTTTCATCCCGTTGGTTTTCAGTCTGGCGCCTACTGTGTACCAACTCACGATTAAATAAGCATACCTTTTCAATGTTGCAGTCTGTTAGAAAAATTTTGTGCTATATCCATTATTACTACAGCAAAAACGTGAGGTGCCTGAGTTAAGTTTCTGGCTCTGGAAGCAGATCCACGACTCCAGGAACTTGCCTTTCCATTTGTGAATAAAAGTAAAGGTAAGTAAGAACACCAGTAGTCTAACAGACCTCACTAACCAATACAGTATTGTTTAGTGTTCCCTGGAGAGGTACAACTCTAAGGGTTAGAATCTACCACAGAAGCTTCTCTCACTGCTGCTTCTAATACAAGTAAGTAATAGTACTTTGCTTGTGTTTGTATATTCGTGTTTTGTGTTACCCATAAGTAGGCTTGTGTTTTCATGTGATTACCTATTCTTCGTTATTTTGTGATGATGCAGAATTCTGATAAATTAGACATGTGCAACTCTTGGGTATCTTTATTGAGGAAACGTTTCGCCACAGTGGCTTCATCAGTCCATACATAGGAGAATGGTGAAGAACAGGAGGAGAATGAGGTAATCAGTCCCTCAACCTTGAGTCGATGTGATTGACTCAAGGTTGAGGAACTGATTACCTCATTCTCCTCCTGTTCAAGTTTCTCCTTTGTATGGACTGATGAAGCCACTGTGTGGCGAAACGTTTCCTCAATAAAGATACCCAAGAGTTGCACACGTGTCTAATTTATCAACGTGTCGGTTCTCTGAACCATTCATCTGTAATACAGAAGTCTGCTCGTTGTATCTCTTAGTGTTCAGTTTGTGACAATGTGTTGCAAGTCTCCAGTGGATGTAACATACTCATCATAGAACTCATTCGGGTAATCTACCAGTTTAAAGAGTGAAGAAATATTTTCTAGTAACATTTCTGCACGACCTTTTTCTTCTAATTTTAAACTTGTGGCTTCATGTTGTTCCTGTGGGTGATGGTGAGAGATTTCTGAATATTTTGTTTTTAAGCGAGGGCAATACTTTAACTAAGGAATCCAATTTTGACTTCACCTGTGTCTTCTTAATTAATTCACTAAGGTTATTTTTATATTTTTCGGTACGAGTTTCTAGCTTCTGCATTAAGCAGCTCTGTATGACCCATGCAAGTTTGGCGCATGCTGCATTGATCTGATCTGCTGTAGAGATCAGTTTTCGTATTATTATTCCAAAATTACTTTCTCAGTCTGATGTTTACAATATTGTGTCATTTTCTCAATCTGACGTTTATAATACTGTGTCATTCTCTCAGTCTGATTTTTCTACAATTCATCCTTTTGCTTAACGTAAGTATGTTAAGTGCTTTGTTAAGATAAAAATATATCTTCTGTATACTGTTCTTCTGATAGCCATGGTAGCCATTACGCTTATCTATTCAACGTGCTTGTCTATTTCTATACTGTGTGGATACACTGTGTTGCAACAGGGTAACGACACACTGGTAATTAGACTCGTCAACCTGTCAGCTGTTTCTTTTCTCAGGCCTGAAAATACTCTCACTAGGTTGTGATAATAATAATAATAATAATAATAATAATAATAATAATAATAATAATATTTATTTCTACATTTCAACAAGTGCATAAGAAGGTATACAAGCCTAGTTGACTTCAGTGACATACTACAATACAGAAAGCCCCCTTGTTATGTAGAGCATTTCGGGTAAATTACGTCAGTTTTGTCCCAGGATACGACGCATACCAGTTGACTAACACCCAGATACCTATTTTACTGATAAGTGAACAGGGATAAGAGGTGTCTTAAGGTGTCCTAATGTCTCCACCCGTGCCGGGGATCGACCCACGGACCTCAGTGTGTGAGCTGAGTGCGCTAGCAATAGAGCGTGAGGTTGACTGCTCCTAGCGCACCGTGTGATAGAATATGACAAAAATGCCATCCTATGTGACACAGTATGACTAGAAAATCATCCTGGTTAATGGAGTGAGAGAGGAAACCCCTCCTGGTTTATGGAGTAAGAGAGGAAACCCTCCTGGTTTATGGAGTAAGAGAGGAAACCCCTCCTGGTTTATGGAGTAAGAGAGGAAACCCCTCCTGGTTTATGGAGTAAGAGAGGAAACCCCTCCTTGTTGATGGAGTAAGAGAGGAAACCCCTCCTTGTTGATGGAGTAAGAGAGGAAACCCTTCCTGGTTGATGAAGTAAGAGAGGAAACCCCCTTTCCCGGTTGATGGAGTAAGAGAGGAAACCCCTCCTGGTTGGTGGAGTAAGAGAGGAAACCCCTCCTGGTTGGTGGAGTAAGAGAGGAAACCCCTCCTGGTTGGTGGAGTAAGAGAGGAAACCCCTCCTGGTTGGTGGAGTAAGAGAGGAAACCCCTCCTGGTTGTGGAGTAAGAGAGGAAACCCCTCCTGGTTGGTGGAGTAAGAGAGGAAACCCCTCCTGGTTGATGGAGTAAGAGAGGAAACCCCTCCTGGTTGATGGAGTAAGAGAGGAAACCCTTCCTGGTTGATGGAGTAAGAGAGGAAACCCCTCCTGGTTGATGGTAAGAGAGGAAAACCATCCTGGTTGATGGAGTAAGAGAGGAAAACCATCCTGGTTGATGGAGTAAGAGAGGAAAACCATCCTGGTTGATGGAGTAAGAGAGGAAAACCATCCTGGTTGATGGAGTAAGAGAGGAAAACCATCCTGGTTGATGGAGTAAAGGAGGAAACCATCCTGGTTGATGGAGTAAGAGAAGAAAACCATCCTGGATGATGAAGTATAACAGAAAAACCATCCTGGTTGGAGCATAACAGAAAAACCATCCTGGTTGATGGAGTATAACAGAAAAATCATCCTGGTTGATGGAGTATAACAGAAAACTCTGGTTGATGATGTACAACAAAAACCATCCTGGTTGATGGAATATAACAGAAAAACCATCCTGGTTGAGTATAACAGAAAAACCATCGTGGTTGATGGAGTATAACAGAAAAATCATCCTGGTTGATGGAGTATAACAGAAAACTCTGGTTGATGATGTACAACAAAAACCATCCTGGTTGATGGAGTATAACAGAAAAACCATCCTGGTTGAGTATAACAGAAAAACCATCGTGGTTGATGGGTGATTTACATTAACAGTTTGTGTTCTAGCATGAAAACCTCATGTAGATCAAGGTACAATAGCTGCACATTGGGGATTATCTATTTTTAATGATAAAAATGGCCTCTGTAACATGCTACTCACTCCCGGAATGACATCATTTCACTTTAAATTTTAATATGATCAAAAACAAGCTCTTTTTTAGTTTTAAATAATTTTATTTAACTATTTGCTTATTCAAGAGTCAAATCACTGAACGTGTGGGGCTTGAACCCATGGCAGGCGAGTCCTAAAGCTCACAGGCTCCACATGTTCCCTGATTTGTTTGCAATCGTGTTATGATTTCACGAGTCGCAAGTGTCAAAGGTATGGCCACATTCCTTAGTCTTCTAGTTTTATGAGTAATTCTGCAGTTCTTAGAACTTTCGCCATTAAGTTTTTCAGAAATATGATCTTTTGATCATTTCCTTACTTCTCCATCACACGAAGGTTTTTGGGTACAGAGCTAGAGTTAGTATTATATTTCTACTCTGTCAACACAACGTGCAATCTGCTAAAATAAAACGGTTTTCGGCACTCTCCCACTCAACCTTCACATGTTGCTGCCATAAATTGTCCCAAAACAACAGCTTGATCCCGCAGTTTCAGCAGGTTTTTACTCTGTCAGTTCTTAACACTCTTTTGCATTATTTCACGAGACAATAAACCTGTTTAGGTCATTTAGAACAAGATGTAGTGATTGCTTAACTCGCTACTCCATCTAAAGCCTCTAATATCTACTTGTTATGCAGGTTATGGCCACATCTTTCCCCGGACCAACGCAGGTCGAGCTCTCACCATTGTCTACGCCATTGTCGGCATTCCCATCTTCCTCATCCTGATGGCAGATTTCGGCAAACTCTTCACCAGACTCCTAAAGTCTCTGTTTGTTTTCGTCAAGAAACTTTACCGCACTGCAACTTGCAGGAGAGTGAGGAAGACCAGAGCTGTGCAGTCGGTGAAGGTGAGCTGGTCGTGGACTCTTAGAATGTATAGTGTAATGTTTTTTTTTCTGATCATGTGATTTTCGAGTGGGTTGTTTGACATCCAAGTCTGTGTGGGTCGTAAGAATAAGCATTCACAAGGGATGAATTTTGAGTTCATAAGGCTCATTCAAAAGTGATAGCTCCTTTTGAGTCTTCTGAAATTATTTTTAAATGAGAGTTTCCAGTTGACTATCAAGTTTGTGTGTCACAGTGTTACTAACCTGAATGAATGAGTCAGAGGAAGTAATCGTAAATAATCAATGGAGTGAAAAGATCTGAACGTCAACTTCAGGGAAAATTTCAACTCAGTTGCAGTAATGGCGGTCAACAGTATCTAATATCTGATGAAACTCACATGATCTTTACATTCTTATTTTTGATGAACTCACCAGTGTGTTGTTAATCCTTGTCTTAACATAAACACCTTCAATCCACCCCGATCCATCGTTCATTCCCTTAAACTTTTCTCAGTACCTAAACTAACCACTAATATCATATGTACACATATTAACACCTAGAAGTGTGTGTACCAGTGTGAATGTTCAGTTTTTACATATTAAAATATGTTTTATGCTGGAGTTCAGGTGAATTGCAGCTCTAATACTTTTTATATTCAGTAGGCCATAACACTAACAACTAACATTGTCTACCGCACGCCTCCCTGCCTGCCTAATTCTAGCACCAACAAAGGGTCAGCCCAATGTCTAGGCCGCCTCTGGCTGTCCCAGAGTCCCTCTCTACAGACTTCGACAAACCTGATGAGGCCGACCAACAGGCTCAGGTGAGAGAGAGAGAACCTTTCTTGACAGAGGAGGAGAGAAGAAAGCAAGAACAGATGGGTGAAGATGAAGAGGGTCAGGAGGAAGAGAAACACCAAGAGGCTCCTCCATGCTGCTGCTCAGTAAGTGGTTGGGACACTCCTTGTGTGCCTTCCTCTTTCTGATTACCTGTTTCTCATTATTTGTATATGAAGGTACACGGGTTTGTATGTCTGTTAGAATTTTTTAGTAAATATACTGACAGTTTAATCATATTTTTCGAATAAATGATGATCTGTGAGTTGTACACAAATACATGAGGTAAAATTATATTCGATATTAATGCAATTCGCTGTTACCAGAGAGAGAGAGAGAGAGAGAGGAGGAGAGAAACAGAATAAGAATTCGACTAATCAATCGACTGACTGATTAGCCGGCCGTTCGACTGGCCAATTGAGTAACTGAGACCAAGAGCTAGAGTTTGTTAGAGAAGGGGCAGAGTTTTAGCATGGATTTAAGATGCAAGTTAGCCACTACTGCTTTGAGTGGGGGATAGTTTGCTGTTTTCTGTGAATACAAGTCACTACTGGCTTGGGAAGGGTCAGAACTGATGTGGGTGGAGTAACCACAGGTCTGGGTGTGGGTAGGGTCACCACTTTCGTGAGCGGTGACAAAACCGATTCATCTTAGAAGTGGCCTGGGTGGAGGTAGAACATGGTTGGTGTTAGTGGGTATACGAGGGTCATTAAGGGGAGATCATCTGTCTTAATGGTCGTTACCTGACAAACACACCGCTGCCTTGCCAAACCCCCCCCCTTTCCCCTCACAAAGTCACCCACACACGCACAAATGCCCACACCCAAGGGTGCCCACGCCCATGCACTCTTAATTAAGGACTCTTAAGGACCCCAATGGAAATAAGTCACTCTGTCTGACTTTTTTGGGTTATCCTAGGTTCTCTACACATATGCTGCTATGTATGATAATTCTATGTAACTGTATTGTGTATACCTGAATAAATTTACTTACTTACTTACTTTCTTACTTACAACTAGTACTTAAATGTCCAACGATTCACTCTCACCCACTCATACATTCACACGCCCACACACTTAAATGCTCGCTCACACGTTCATACACCCTCCCACGGACTTATACGTCCGTCAACACACATACATACACACACACCTATCTAAATATATTCACGCACTCTTGCACCACTGAGCACACCCAAGCACTCTTGCACCACTGAGCACACTCAAGCACTCACTAAAGGATTAACAGATATTCTTAATGAATATCGGAAATTGTAATCTTCAACATATTTATAAATGACAGAAGCGAGGTTGAAGGCAGCTCACCGTCAACACTAGGCCTAGTATTTACTAGACCGTAGGAAGACATTTTCATTAGACAAAACTCACTTTGAAAGAACTATTACATTTCTAGTAGAAATATTATATATTCTTAAATACTGTCTTTGAAGATAAAAAAAAAAACAAGAATAACTAAATTAAAAGATAGGAAAATTAAATATTTTAAGACACTATTTTAGAGACAAAAATACATTTGAAATATATTTCATGAGACAAACTGCGTATTGGAGAGGAGTAGAAGACACAATAATAAAGTATGATTAAATGGAAGATGGTGGAGAGTGAAAGAAAAAGAATTTGGAACTAATATAAGAAGCCGACCAATCTGGAGGCTAGGAAGACATGTGAAACAGTTAGGTATCTTTAGCTCCGAAACGTTTCACCTACACAGGCTTCTTTTGACTTTCCATGCCTCGGGTTTCACCTCTGGCAGTATAAAAGGCTTATGCTTCAGCTTCACATTGTTCAAGTCCATGGAAGTGAACACATCTCAAAGTTGAGGGACTGACAACTCAGTGCTACATCTTCACTGTTGACTGACTGACATCATCTTCACCTCTCCACTACTATACTGCTGCCGCTGCTCTCTCTCCATACTGAGTCTCCTCCGTATTCTACTGAAGTACCGTACTGTGCAGGAGAATCGTTACAGAAATAATGATACTTAACTGTTGCACATGTGTCTTATTTATCTACTTTTCGGTACTGTATACCGATATTATGATGGTTCAAAGACTCCAAAACAAGTTTGAAGCGAAAATGCTAGTAGTAGAATGGAGGGAAAACTTTGAAATGGAAACAGTATATAAGAACAAGATAGAACCAAATCCTTTATTTATACTTTCAAAAAGGCACTGAAATAAACAAAATACCAAGAATCAATGGCAACAACAGAATCATTGAAGGCGAGGAGGAAATGTGTGTGTGAGGTACTAAATTGGAAGTGTCAAAGTGTTCTTACAAAAGATATTTTAAATATCGTTTGGAGTATACCTGGAGGGTGTTTCGGGGGGTCAACGCCCCCGTGGCCCAGTCTATGACCGCGATGTAAAGAAATTATTACTAGACGTGATAGATGAGAAACATTACCAGTATTTATAAAGGTAACAGGAAGACCTTTTAAACTAAGAGGATATTTCTCTGACAACTATTATAAAAAACAATGAGTAAAAAAACACAAGCTAATTACCAAACAAGACATTGTTCCATCTGCAAATTCCTATATAAAACTTATTATTCTATTATAAGAGAGTCACAAATTAATCGAGAGAGAAGTAGATGGGCAGGGCAGATTGTGTTTATATAAATCATGGAACGGGTGGGGCTTAAACCTATGGCAGGAGAGTTCTCAAACTTTCACACGTTCTCTTACTTGTTTGCAATCGCGTTATTACGATTTCGTGCGTTGTGTTAACACAGATTTTAAGCATGATTTTAAGAATGATTAAGAAACTAAAAAATGGAAGCAATAGGAAAAAAAGAATTTACGAAAATACCTGATATATTTTCTGTTCGAGAAGAAAATGCAAACAGTGATTAGAGGAAAAAAAAAGTTTACACGGGAAAATGTCACCAGAGGGGTACCACAAGGATCTACATTTTCCGAGTTTTTTAATGATTTATTGGAAGTAATAAAAAGATGATTTTTTAATCATGTGACCGCAAATCTCTACAGCATAACTTGTATATATATAATGAGTAAATAGAGTAAGAGTGATGATGGAATTTTTCATTTTAACACAAAGGCCGTTTTCCACAGAGGCAAGGTTACTCAAGGTGACTCAAGTTACTCAAGGTGACTCGAAAAAGAAGAAACTTTCATCAGTCACTCCATCACTGTCTTGCCAGAGGAGTACCGATACTACAGCTCAAAAGCTGCAAAAACATGTAACAGAAAAAGAAAATCCTGTCACATGGAATAATTTAAACTGTTACAAAATAATGAACTTCTCAGAGATTTAGAAATCATGACTAGCAAAAATTGTTTCCGGAAGTTGAAATGAAAACGTGCGAGAGACTCATTTGCCACACTGACAAACTATCAAATATTTTTTAAATATATGAATGGAGAAATAATAATAAAAAAAATGAGCTGTTTACAACATATATTAGGTCAAAATTGGAATAAGCAGAGGGCGTGTGGTGCCTACTTAAAAAAAGATGTGGATAAGATAGAAATGAGCCATAAAGAGAACAACATGAAATGTGAGTTATAATGATTGGCAGAAAAGCTGGTTGATAGGAAGAGAGCAGACATGTTAACTGTATGTACGGATGTGAAAAATTAGATAAAGATTTCTTAGCAGCTTCAACGGGAATAACAAGACGTTTTTGTGAACTGAAAAAAAGTGACGCCAAGAGGATAAAAATAATTGTTTTTTTCTTTTGGTAAATATTGGTGATACAATTCTAACAACCACTGGAAATATAAAACAAATATACCATGATATAATTAATTGGATTATTACTCACCTACTCACCCTCTTATATGCATAGTGGTCACATCCACTCACACACCTACATACCCAAATTTATGCATTTACTCATCCATCCACTCACTGCACACACCCACTCTCTCGTATAAGTTTTTCTCTCCATACAAGGAGTTGTGTTCGCGCCCGGAGTCACATTAATGTTCTAGGAAATAAACGGATAGATGTTGAGGAAAAGACTTTTACTTAACGCTCTATAACAGACTGCTACCTCACTGACTTTATGGGCTACATATATGCATGTGTCCTGGGGAAGTGGGGAGTCTGTGGGCTCTAAATACAAGAAGCAAATTATTGAGGGTTCGTCGTCCTGTACTACATAATCCATGTCCAAACTCACTACCCCCGCTACCTGGCCTACTAAAGGAAACCTTTCATGTACAAGACCATTAAACTAAGATACGGAGACTCGGGTGAAAAAAAAAAATGTACAGAGGCGTCCATACTAAACACCTCGTAAAATTTTATCAAGGAGGAGAAGGGCCAAAAGTGTCATCAGATACACCTAGGTAATGGAAACGACGACTTCTCTCGCGACAGGAAGGAGCCACATGTAAGGCGTCCCATTTTTGTCACGGACAGAATTAAACCGTCGGGTCTGCCAGAGGCTACTTGCTGGGGGTTTTCATAGCCACACCAAAAGACTTCTCTCTACTCTGTACTTCCGCAGGATAGAGCGACACGTGAGGCAGACCAAAGTATGGACGCTATTTTCAACTGAAATATTGATATAAATACTTAAATAAAGAGGATATCTAACAAAAATGTTTCGTCTATACATGGGCTTTATCAAGTTATCCAGGCAGCCTGGATAACTTCGTAGTATGACATAAGCTTAATTAAGATTTAACTGCCAGGGACTAGGGTTAGAAATGCTGATAAGGCAGATTCTAGGCTTCTATATTTGACTCGTTCTTGATAACTACTTAAGTACCCGACTACCTGTCTTTGATGAGGTGATTGTCGGGGTCGCGTTCTGCATGCGTACTGATTCTTCTTTGACTCTTGTGACAATGTCAAAGAGTGTCTTCCTATTCAGTGTACGGATTGTACAGCCAATCTATTCTGGGTCACGGGGGAGAAGTAGTGGAAGAGAAGGTGGTCAGTGCAAGAGAGGGAAATAGGGGTGGGTTATAGTGGTAGCAGTGGTACAGATGATGTAAGCGAAGGTGGGTGATGGTGGTAGTAGAAGCAGTAACAGTGGAAGAGAAGATAGTTGTTGTAGGAGAGTGAGGGTGATTGGTGGTTGTTGTAGGAGAGTGAAGGTGAGTGGTGGTTGTTGTAGGAGAGTGAAGGTGAGTGGTGGTTGTTGTAGGAGAGTAAAGGTGAGTGGTGGTTGTTGTATGAGAGTAAAGGTGAGTGGTGGTTGTTGTGGGAGAGTGAAGGTTAGTGGTGGTTGTTGTGGGAGAGTGAAGGTTAGTGGTGGTTGTCGTGGGAGAGTGAAGGTGAGTGGTGGTAGTTGTAGGAGAGTGAATGTGAGTGGTGGTTGTCGTCGTAGGAGAGTGAATGTGAGTGTGGTTGTCGTAGGAGAGTGAATGTGAGTGGTGGTTGTCGTAGGAGAGTGAATGTGGGTGGTGGTGTTGTAGGAGAGTATAAGTTTGTGGTGGTTGTTGTACGAGTGAAGGTGGGTGGTGGTTGCTGTAGGAGAGTGAAGGTGATGTGTTGCTGTAGAGAGTGAAGGGATGTGATATTGTGGAGAGTGAATGTGTGGTTCGTTGTAGGAGAGTGAATGTGAGTGGTGGTCGTTGTAGGAGAATATATGTGAGTGGTGGTCGTTGTAGGAGAGTGAATGTGAGTGGTGGTCGTTGTAGGAGAGTGAATGTGAGTGGTGGTTGTCGTAAGAGAGTGAATGTGAGTGGTGGTTGTCGTAGGAGAGTGAAGGTGAGTGGTGGTTGTTGTAGGAGAGTGAAGGTTAGTGGTGGTCGTTCGTAAGGAGAGTGAAGGTTAGGGTGGTCGTCGTAGGAGAGTGAAGGTGAGTGATGGTTATTGTAGGAGAGTGAAGGTGAGTGGTAGGTGTCTAGGAGAGTGACGGAGTGGTGGTGTGTAGAGAGTGAAGGTGAGTGGTTGTAGAGAGTGAAGGGAGTGGTGGTTGTTAGTAAGGAGTGAAGGTGAGTGGTGGTTATCTGTAGAGAGTGAAGGTGAGTGGTGGCTTGTCGAGAGAGTGACGGTAGTGGGGTGGTTCTAGAAGAGTGAAGGTGAGTGGTGGCTGTTGTAGAGAGGAAAGGTGAGTGTGGTTTTCTTAGGAGAGGAAGGTGAGTGTGTTGTCGTAGAAGTGAAGGTGAGTGTGTTGTCGTAGAGAGTGAAGGTGAGTGGTGGTTGTTCGTAGGAGTGAAGGTGATGGTGATTGTCGTAAGAGTGAAGGTGAGTGGTGGCTGTCGTATAAAGAGTGAAGGTGAGTGGTGGTTGTCGTAAAGAGTGAAGGTGAGTGGTGGTTGTCGTAGAGAGTGAAAGTGAGTGGTGGTTGTTGTAGAATGAAGGTGAGTGGTGGTTGTTCGTAGCGTGAAGTGATGGTGGGTTGTCTGTTATGGAGAGTGAAAGTGAGTTGGTGTTTCGTAGAGAATGAAGGTGAGTGGTGGTTGTCGTAGGAGAGTGAAGGTGGTGGTGGCTTTTTAGGAGAGTGATTTGTCGTAGGAGAGTGAAGGTGAGTGGTGGTTGTGTAGAGAGTGAAGTGAGTGGTGGCTGTAGAAGAGTGAAGGTGAGTGGTGGTTGTAGAGAGTGAAGGTGAGTGGTGGCTGTAGAAGAGTGAAGGTGAGTGGTGGTTGTTGTATGGAGAGTGAAGGTGAGTGGTGGCTGTTGTAGGAGAGTGAAGGTGAGTGGTGGCTGTTTGTAGAAGAGTGAAGGTGAGTGGTGGCTGTCGTAGAAGAGTGAAGGTAGTGGTGGTTGTCGTAAAAGAGTGAAGGTGAGTGGTGTTGTCGTAAAAGAGTGAAGGTGAGTGGTGGTTGTCGTAAAGAGTGAAGGTGAGTGGTGGTTGTCGTAAAGAGTGAAGGTGAGTGGTGGTTGTCGTAAAAGAGTGAAGGTGAGTGGTGGTTGTCGTAAAAGAGTGAAGGTGAGTGGTGGTTGTCGTAAAAGAGTGAAGTGAGTGGTGGTTGTTGTAGAAGAGTGAAGGTGAGTGGTGTTGTTGTAGAAGAGTGAAGGTAGTGTGGTTGTCGTAGGAGAGTGAGGTGAGTGGTGGTTCCTAGGAAGTGAAGGGTTGTTGTAGGAGAGTTGAAGGTGAGTGGTGGTTGTCGTAGGAGAGTGAAGGTTCGTCTGTCTGGAAGTAGGTACTGGTCTTGTCGTAGAGATTTGAGGTGAGTGGTGGTTGCTGTAGCAGTGAAGGTGATGGTGTTGCTGTAGGAGAGTTGAGGTGAGTGGTGGTTTGTTGTAGGAGAGTGAAGGTAGTGGTTGTTGTTGTAACAGCATCTGAAGGTCGAGTGGTGTTGTTGTAGGAGAGTGAAGGTGATGGTTGCTGTTGTAGGAGAGTGAAGTGTGGTGGTTGTTGTAGGGAGCTGAAGGTGAGTGGTTGTTGTAGGAGAGTGAAGGCGAGTGGTGGTGTTCTAGGCTAGTGAGGTGTATTCATTGTCGTAGGAGAGTGAAGGTGGTGTGGGAGGCTAGTAAAGCATGAATAAAGCAGGGTGATATGGTAGAGAGGAAGTAAAGAGTTCGATACGGAAGAGAATTTTTTTTACTCCTTAACTGTTTACTTAGAAAGTAAATTTTTATTACTTCGCCAAAAATAATTCGCATTTGCTTCTTGTCTGTTTCCCTTTCCTCCTGTCCTCACATTCCTCTTTTTCCTACCCCTGCTCTCCTTGTTATCCTCACATTCCTCTTTGT